AGTATTAAAACCAGCCAAAGATATTCTGTGATGCCATTCATTTTCCGCTACTATAAAGCAAAACAGGCGCTAGCAGCATAAAACAAGTTAAAAAATCAGAACACCCAATCTGGCTAAGGCTACGGATTTAAGAACGACGTGTCTCTATTTCACAAAAAGCCACAGAAGGGCCCGCTCCCTCTTTCTCTCTGCTTCATTTTAGGGCTGTTACGCGATGCAGAACCAATCCCCTAACCATGCCCATTTATATGTCGCCCTCACTACACATGACGTCAAGACGTCAAATGTGCCCATCTAAGCAGCAGACATACTGCCACCTTTAATCTTCTCTCGGATCCACACGCTATATGATCCGTGCGGAGGCTTTGACTTGCCCTCTGAATGTCGACAAACCACACCCTCACCAGTCGAACCTGAGCTTGCTAATGTATATACCAGAATCTGCCCCTTCATGCAATACTGAGTCAACCGTCCGACACCAATCAGACACCGACCTTCACATCCCATAAAGTATTTACTATGACGAGCTCCTGAATTGATAGATTTTAACCCTTACCTGTGTGCTATTCATGTGTGCTTGCTGAGTGTCGCTTCTCCGTGTTCTACCTTAACGTCACCTCTCAGTTTCCCTATAGTATTTTCTTGCCCAAACGGATCATCTGTGAGAAATTCCAATTCTTGGCTCCCAAAGTACCAAGAGGCGTCTCTCATTAGAGCGCCGTAGCCCTCTATCGAGCCAGATTGCTCAACCAGCCCCTCCTCGAGATGACGGTCATCAGGAACCCTCTGCGTATGTCTCCTTTTAGCCTTGCATGGGCATCACAATATAGAAAGCTGAACCTCCATGTACAAAGTAATGAGGTCACTATAGGTCGAAACCCAAATAATTTTGTCCAGCGATGGGCATAGAGCTAGTTTTCGAAGAATCCTCCAATATATTGATGCTGGAGTACATTTCATTTAATTTGAAGAGGCGGATAAAGACATTCCCAAGTCGGCCTCACCGGAAATCGAAGGAAGATTGTCTTGGAGTCCAGATTGTAGCTTTTAATGAATAAGTCCTCGGCTCACCCTCCCGTGACTCCGATGAATCACTGCTCAACTTTCGTCCTTCTAGCATCGTCAGAGCATGACGCTATATCTTATAAGACTTTATCAAGCAAGAGTGCCTTTCTTGCCGTCGTGAAGTACGATGAGCCGAGAACTTATTCGTACAGCTCCGAGGAAAACCTCATTTGGCTTCATGTGCGGCCAAGTGGCAAACTGTTAGGAAGACTTTCATTTCGTATGAGTGCGTGAAGAAGTGATTCTCAGAATGATCTCACCAGAAGACGACATCTGATTCCCGTTGAAGTCAATGATTATTATGAGCATGACTAGCGAATAGCAACCACTTGACTAAAGAGTTGGGACGGCTGAAAGATTTGATCCTGGCAAATAATTATCCTTTGCACCTAATTTATACTAATATATCTTCACTGGAGAATAACTTTTAAGACAGAGGCTACTTAGTCAAAGATAAACAAGAGTAGACCTTTTCTCATGTCCTAATTTCGCCGTCACGTTTTTTTACTAAAATGGATAATAAAAATAGTGTTCAAAGAAACCCTCATACTTGATTCAGTTAAATCCCCCTTTAGAGGGAAATATGACCAAATATCGAGCTCCGGCTACCACAAGACTGTGTTCTCTTGTTGTCGACCTTATATTGGTGAGACATGC